ATATGAATGGTAGGTAAGAGAGTCGGCATGAGGCTGGAGGCTTACGTTTTCTGCTGTCGATGACTGCATTAGGTTATTTTCGTACTCTCTACTCGATTGCCGTGCGAGCGGCCCACCCGCCCTCCCACTAACAGCCAAATGGCTGATCGGAATTGTCTTTGAAGGGTTTGGGTACCGCGGGAGTGTGGTCGCAGACGCAATGGCCTTCCCCACAATAAGTTAGTAGTGAGTACGGATCACGCGATGACGTTTAAGCAATGCAAGCGTATGTACGTCTGATGCATTCGCTTGCATTACTGTCTGTACTTTTGCGAATGCATTCACACCATTCCCTTACTCGTAACATTATGTGTCCGTACTTCTGTGAATGCATTCGCAGCATTTTCGCGATCCTAAGCACGCCCATGTTACATTTAACGCGCGCGAGGGTATCGCCAAACGCAAGTGACTGCGATTTGCATATATACGCGACTGCTAACGGTGCGAATGCGGACGCGCCTAGTGGTGTTATACGAAGTACTGCCAATCGTGCATTACAAAGCCTTACAACAGCAGTACAAGAGCTGTACAGGGTGCAAGGTGACAGCCCACCGTTTTGATACCATTGGACATGAACTGTGAACCGCATGAAGTGAGAAAAGAAGACATATTTATATTTTCTCAAGCATAGCTCGGAACGTTCACTGCAAGTTGCGATGATTACAAAATTGCCAGCCATATGCTTGCAAAAAGTCCTTGTCTCCAGCTTGCAGTTTTGTCACCTTCATCGAAACCGTCCACAAAAGCATCACGGTGCGACTCTCCCTGTTGTTGGCAAGAGGAAACGTGAAAGGAGAGAGGACGGGGTATATATGCAGAGGAGGCAACGGTGAAGGGATGGGAGGGAGCTCAATAAAGACATGTTAAGGGGAATCCAGCATTCGCATTGCAAGCTAAAGACAGCAGTGGTAACACTGGGCGCACGACATACACGAGGTCGTAAGACAGCAGGGCATGCATTTAGGACACAACCGCTCGTTTTCCTTCGTTTTCCTCGACATACCCAGGTTGTATTCCGACATTTCCTTTGCTACTTAATTAAGTAGCAACCTTTTTTTTGCTACTTAATTAAGGAGCAAGGAAATGTCGGAATTATAATGTGACCGATGCGAATGCTTATGGAAGGCTCATGGGCCCCCGCCCCTGCGCCAAGCCACTTCGCTGAGCTTCACCGTAGTGCCAGAACTTCAATTGGCATTGCAGGCCATCCTAAAGATGGGGTCTGTTGTCCAATCTTGCTTAAATCTTGCTGCAACTGCCTACCTGTTGGGTAATATGGCTATCGGCTTAGCGGACAGTGTAATCTTCTGGCTCTGTTATGCGATTGTGTTGTATTCTCTGCATATCACAGGAAATGCATTCGCCAATTGAATTTTTTCTGAAGTCGACATTGCCAGCTTCGAATCCATAACCAAGCAGTATCCAATAGCAGTATAGTCATATGCGTTGCATATGTACTGCTACTGGATGTGTAGCGGTGCATGGATGTGAAACACCCCACGCAAGTTGCATTAGTGCAGCTCTTAGTGGCACTGTCAGGACCTAGGATTGGAAGCGGGCAGAAGGAAGGCGGAAAGGTAAAACCATGTCTACACGCAGGGGGGGGGGACGGAAACAAACACACACAGATATAGACACACGCACACACATTTTCCGAACAAGACTACCCATGTTACATCTTTAGATTTTATTTTAAGAGATGCACTGTACAGAGGTAAATTTCAAAGCTTGGGCCACGTTCACAAACAGTTTTAGGATCCAATTCACCTCAAGGTGAAATGACGAGCATCCCTTGCCTAGCCATTCACACGCGACTCGGTCCAGAAGTACTCTTAATGAAGAGCAACATAACATTTGAGAAACTATACAATGTTGTGGTTGCAACTTGCTGTTTATGGAAAATACGCTAGAGAACATTGTTCACTGGCTCTGGGAGGCAGTTGCCACTCTGCCAAATGCCTCTATGGAGATCATACAGATTATCCTTGCTGGTCATCAGTCGGTAACCAGCAGGTTTTTGTAGCAAATAACGAAGTCCTGATGGTATTGCGGAAGGCCTAAGTTTAGGACGCAGCGGCAAAACGGATGCTTAAACTGGAGCCGACTAGGAAAACTTGTCCGTTGTTTTGTCAGTTGGCAAATAGAGCAACCGCTAAGAGTTACATGCATGTACTGTCATCAGATGTTCTCCGCCCGCTGGTTTCACTGCCGCTCGGATTTATGATTGCGCATCAATAGAGCATGTTGCTCGCCGCTCTATGACATGCGAAAGCAGAGCCGCCAGTGACAGTGGCACAAGCAACACTGTGCGTTTGCACTGCCAGCTACAGACGGCGGTGGGTTGATACTTTTCCGTTGGGACTGGCGTTGGGTATATGCTGCACGAGACATGCTTAAAAGCCGCAGCGTTCCAGCCACCACGGTACAACTAGCTAATAATAACAACGTACAATCATTCATCCCAGATCAGTATGACGCATGAAAATAGACACGGCTGCCGTATAATAGCCGAGAGCCCAGTAGTTTCATCGCCTCCAACCAGCTCAGCTGCAACCGCTGTCCGCATCGGCGGCCAGCCACCGGCGCCCTGTTCCACTCCATTACATCTTTCGTGAACTTCACACCATAGTATGAAATGGTTTGCGGTTTATCGTACATGCAAATGAGGATATATGGCGTGGTTGCCAGAGGTTAATTGGGTTAGCTTGCATATACACAGCTCAGGGACTATTGATAATGCACACACCGATGGCCTCGGAGGTTCCGGGATCGACACCTGCCAGAATCCAATGGTGGATAGTCAGTGTGCCCCGAGTTCGTGGGCGGCGATGACCTAGAATAGAATTGACCTGCGAGTCTACCAGGAACGGAGTTGCGCCGCCAATGTTCCGGCAGGTTTCGTTGGATGCCGTTGGTGGGTGCTGAACCTGAGTGAGAACAACTGAGAAGTTGCCTAGGGTGACTGAATGAGGGTGACCCCGAAAGGCAGGCTTTTACCAGGTAGCGGCCACGGGTGAAGATATACCCATCTTTGACTAATCCTCCAAATTTTCCATCTGCTTGCAGCCCTCAGTAGCACGCTTGCAAGCTGACTATTCAGTCATTGAACTCTCCATTTTCGCGACCAGCAACAGCGTTACTCCACGTCAGCCTTCAAGTGCCGGATGTAATCATCCTTATGTGCAGCCCAGCTCTGATCCACTGGCTTCATGCATCTGCACTTGTAGCAGAGCTGTGCTGCCGTGAAGGACGACTTGTCCTTGTCTGTTCGTGCTTTTTTGGCCGCGATTGGCCTGCTGCCAACCCTGCAATGTGCCATCGGGGGATAAACATTTGGATTTAGAAAAGGGAAATGGTTAGAATATTCGGGCACCATCATGGTGGTAAAAATTGTTTAGTTGCTTTCATGGCGTGCTTGTTCGCATGCAGATCACGGGCAGCCAAGGCCGTATTATGATGTGTATCACCATATTGCAACAAAAATGCGTCATGCAAAGTGTAACATGAAAGCGGCTTCTTGCCCGATTTATGCATCCTAAACACATCGGTGGCCCAGACCTGTAATTTGCCCGTGACAAAGTACACAAAGTGTTCCAACGGGTCCAACTGCATTAAGCCCAAAGTATTACAAAAGCAAGTCGAATCAGGACCAAGTGCAACGAATATGTGCCATCCTTTTTGTCCCGGAAATTTAGGGGGAATACTCATCTCCGTACGTGGAACTTTGCCAGCTGGCGGTTCGCTACCTGCTTAATGGTTTTACAAATGGCTTCCGAACGCGGATTGAGTAGTGGGGTTTCCGAAGAAGAAGGTCTGGACAGCTACTCCTAGCCATCGACTTCAGGGCAAACAGTTTTTACTTGCGCCTTAGCCTTAGACTTCGGTCGCGAAATAAGTTGGATGCTCCATGATATCGCCTAAGTCTTAGATGTGACTTCGGAACAAGACATGAAAAAGTTTAGGCTGTGACGAAAGGTGAGGCGAGGACCGAACAAATGATCTTCGATACATAAATGTAGGAACCGTTCCTTACCTTAGGCGTTTAAGCGGTGACGTTTAGCCGTGCAGCGAAAGCCGGCGAGGAATGGAGTTTGTCCAGGAATAACGGCGAAGCGGGAGAAGCGAATGGCGGTACGGAATTTCACAGATGGAAGACATGCAGAGGAACGGTGTCGGCAGGGTCTTGAACCCCAAGCACTAAGTGATACTTAGGTGTCTGGCCAAGGCACCCCACACCAGGGTGGCTTACATGCGGCCCACCTGCCGCTATCTCCGTTCCTGGAGTCGAGATCTAATATGAGAATCGTACCGTCACGAAATTGTATCGTAACGAAAAGCGATCCGTAAAGCTAGCGAGTGCGGTTCATAACTTCTATATCCGAGATTAGGCTCTTAATAGCTTAATATAATGTAAATTTAATGTAGCTAACTACAATCCGCTAGCCAGCAGAGAATTTGCATTGTGTCACGCAGTGCCGACCAAGGTGCACCTTATAATTATATGAATCACTCTCCGTAGTTAATTTGCCATTGTAGTGCCTTATCCGGAAGGATAATAGCTAAACGAAAATGGTGTCGTCGACCAGACTGCCCCTAAAAAACAAAATGAAATCCCCAGTGCTTTGCTGCTGCCTTTTGCTGGCTATATCGTGGTCATGGACTCCTACCGTGTATGCCGCCGGTGAGCTTCCTCCGAGTATTTGAATGAACAAAATAAAATATGCACGCAAAGCATTACTCTTACAGTTCACCAAGAATGGCCTCCCTCCCAGCCCCGCAGCACCAAATGTGAGTGCTTGCCTTTCATAAAGTTACATACGTTGCAAACATCCATGCATGCAATTGCGTGCATGAAAATTCACCATAGTACATAAATGGCGAAGTAGGAATCAGCGGCTTGTTTTTACCCCAGCCATATTCACAGCAGATAACGACTGAGTATTACACAGAAGCCAGCTCATTTATGTAGCTACCCTGCATCTGACGTTCTGTACTCCGCCGATAAGGCAAATCATTCCATCTATTTGTTCAAGATCTTTGTAATGTACAAGTCCGATAAAACATGACTGACCTAAACGCAGTCCCAAAAGCTGTGTAATGCAAACACGACTTGCCATGGCATGGGCGTCAAAGCCTGCATCTAAATGGTTATAGATCTATTACCATCGCCGTTTCTTAAACCCCCTTACCCTTAGCCTTTGTTTCCCTAAGATCCTCTTCAGTCAAGACCCCAACTGGCAACCCCACCTCCTCCGTCTGTACACCTTTCCTTTTCTTTCCAAACACATTGGCTGCGTGCTTGGAAAGGTTGCACACCACCTGCCGGTTGGTGCGTGAGCGTGGAAATGGAGGACGTGTTTCGGGTCCTCGATTGCGATGGCGATGGACTGCTGGACCTCACCTGTGTCAACAAGCTAGGCAACCGCTGGGCGCTGCTCACGACTAGGAATTGTGATGGAGACTTTGGGGGCAATGCGCCGGCAGATGTTTGCCCCAGAGTCTTTGCAGTTCCACCACCACCGCCGCCTTCAACACCACCTTCACCAACATTCACAGGTTAGCATGGCCTTGGTGCCCGAAGCCCGGGCTTTAAGGAATGGAATATTTACGGAGCACTCTTCTGTCTGAGAGGACATGCTGTGTATGTTGTAATATTGTCGTGCAACTGCATGCGGCACGCTGCCGTGCAAGTGTAGATTTGTTTAATGTTAACCACATCGTGTCCTAGCGTAAGAGCTAGGGTCGGGTCCTGTGTAACATCCAAGGGCATGACCAATAGATGGTAGTACATACTTACATAGTAGGATAGGGATTTAAACTCAACCGGGGTTTTACGAACGGGGCTCAGTCGATGAGCATGTGGTTGTTCGACTAACCAACTAACCTCACTTCCTCCGTCTGTACACCTTTCCTTTTCTTTCCAAACACATTGGCTGCGTGCTTGGAAAGGTTGCACACCACCTGCCGGTTGGTGCGTGAGCGTGGAAATGGAGGACGTCTATAGGGTCCTCGATTGCGATGGCGATGGACTGCTGGACCTCACCTGTGTCAACAAGCTGGGCAACCGCTGGGCGCTGCTCACGACTAGGAATTGTGATGGAGACTTTGGGGGCAGTGCGCCGGCAGATGTTTGCCCCAGAGTCTTTGCAGTTCCACCACCACCGCCGCCTTCAACACCACCTTCACCAACATTCACAGGTTAGCATGGCCTTGGTGCCCGAAGCCGGGGCTTTAAGGAATGGAATATTTATGGAGCACTCTTCTGTCTGAGAGGACATGATGTGTATGTTGTAATATTGTCGTGCAACTGCATGCGGCACGCTGCCGTGCAAGTGTAGATTTGTTTTAATGTTAACCACATCGTGTCCTAGCGTAAGAGCTAGGGTCGGGTCCTGTGTAACATCCAAGGGCATGAATAAGGGATTATGGGGATTTAAACTCAACCGGGTTTGTACGAACGGGGCCCAGTCGATGAGCAAGTGGTTGTTTGACTAACCAACTAACCTCACTTCCTCCGTCTGTACACCTTCCCTTTTCTTTCCAAACACATTGGCTGCGTGCTGGGAAAGGTTGCACACCACCTGCCGGTTGGTGCGTGAGCGTGGAAATGGAGGACGTCTATAGGGTCCTCGATTGCGATGGCGATGGACTGCTGGACCTCACCTGTGTCAACAAGCTGGGCAACCGCTGGGCGCTGCTCACGACTAGGAATTGTGATGGAGACTTTGGGGGCAGTGCGCCGGCAGATGTTTGCCCCAGAGTCTTTGCAGTTCCACCACCACCGCCGCCTTCAACACCACCTTCACCAACATTCACAGGTTAGCATGGCCTTGGTGCCCGAAGCCCGGGCTTTAAGGAATGGAATATTTATGGAGCACTCTTCTGTCTGAGAGGACATGCTGTGTATGTTGTAATATTGTCGTGCAACTGCATGCGGCACGCTGCCGTGCAAGTGTAGATTTGTTTTAATCATAAAAACATCGTGTCTTAGCGTAAGAGCTAGGGTCGGGTCCTGTGTAACATCCAAGGGCATGAATAAGGGATGATGGGGATTTAAACTCAACCGGGTTTGTACGAACGGGGCCCAGTCGATGAGCAAGTGGTTGTTTGACTAACCAACTAACCTCACTTCCTCGTCTGTACACCTTCCCTTTTCTTTCCAAACACATTGGCTGCGTGCTTGGAAAGGTTGCACACCACCTGCCGGTTGGTGCGTGAGCGTGGAAATGGAGGACGTCTTTAGGGTCCTCGATTGCGATGGCGATGGACTGCTGGACCTCACCTGTGTCAACAAGCTGGGCAACCGCTGGGCGCTGCTCACGACTAGGAATTGTGATGGAGACTTTGGGGGCAGTGCGCCGGCAGATGTTTGCCCCAGAGTCTTTGCAGTTCCACCACCACCGCCGCCTTCAACACCACCTTCACCAACATTCACAGGTTAGCATGGCCTTGGTGCCCGAAGCCCGGGCTTTAAGGAATGGAATATTTATGGAGCACTCTTCTGTCTGAGAGGACATGCTGTGTATGTTGTAATATTGTCGTGCAACTGCATGCGGCACGCTGCCGTGCAAGTGTAGATTTGTTTAATGTTAACCACATCGTGTCTTAGCGTAAGAGCTAGGGTCGGGTCCTGTGTAACATCCAAGGGCATGACCAATAGATGGTAGTACATACTTACATAGTAGGATAGGGATTTAAACTCAACCGGGGTTTTACGAACGGGGCTCAGTCGATGAGCATGTGGTTGTTCGACTAACCAACTAACCTCACTTCCTCCGTCTGTACACCTTTCCTTTTCTTTCCAAACACATTGGCTGCGTGCTTGGAAAGGTTGCACACCACCTGCCGGTTGGTGCGTGAGCGTGGAAATGGAGGACGTCTTTAGGGTCCTCGATTGCGATGGCGATGGACTGCTGGACCTCACCTGTGTCAACA